TGGCAGAAACTCATCTGGTCGAATGAAGTTGCGCTCATCATGCGTCGTTGCGAATCCATCGACAGATACAACGACGCCTTTGGGGACATAGTGTCCATCGATAGTGGCCCCTGTGCAGACGCGCGGGGGACCAAATGGGACTGGAGGGAATATACGAAGACCTTCTTCGATGACGCCGTTCAAATATGGAAGATGAGCTACTGCATCACCCGTGATCTCGTCTCGTGCCGAAAATGCTGAGCACACTTCAGCCTGAAGGTTGGCCAACTTGTCAGGGTTCTTCAGCAGATAATAAGTTGTAGCAGCAAGTAGGTTTGCTGTCGTCTCAGACCCCGCGATCATGAGAACCTTGGCCTGCTCACGCAAATGAACAAGATCCAGGTGATCACCTTCCTTCCTGAGGATATAAGCAAAGAAATCTTCACGTTCGCGGGAGTTTCCCATTCCGATTCGCTTCTTGATCTTCTCGGTTGTATGGATGTCGATCTTTTCTTTGAGATAGCTTGGCATAATAGACACGACTAGTGTCATTGGGATCTTGAAGCGGTTGATGAAGGGGAGAAAGGTGAGCGAAGAGATGAATCCAAGAAGCCAAGTTACCCATTCGCTAGGTCTCCATTGGCTCAGCGAGTCAAATGATTCGCCAAACGTCAGATCGCCTTGGGATTCTGGTCAGTCTTATTCTTATTGGTGATGATGGGTGCTGAGGAGACTACTTACCGATAACGTCGAAGGTCAACCAGTTGAAGACCTCTGACATGTTGGCTCCTCCAGTCCCAGGTCCTGCATTTTGCCCGAGCCGTTCTAGGAGTAACTTGACGTGAAACTGTACAGACTCTTCATTATCCCTCAAGGCCTTTGCACTGAATGCATGAGCGAGAGATCTTCGCTGCAGCCGATGATCTTGTGGATCTCTAGTGAAGACAATATCAGGGCGCGTGACAGACGGATCAACAGTGTAGAAGGTGTCACTCTTCAGGAACGTAGGTCTGTCTTTGGAGACATGATTGTAAATGTCCCTGAGTGCGACTGGAGACCTAAAGCTCAGTTCGTTGGAGGCAGTTCGGACAACATCGCCATACTTGCGGTGCAGGTCGCCGATATTACGAATATAGTACCCACTGGCCCAACTGCGTAGGAACCAAAACTGTTCAAGGTCTTAGTTACGAAGGAAATCGGGGAGTATGGAGGAGTCTACCTCACTGCATGCAGCGATTTTGGGTCCTGGGAATTTGGCGAGAGGATGGAAGTACAACCTGTAGATGATGACGCCGATGATCCATGATGCAAACTGCAAAATTAGCATGCACTAGTGCTAGAAAGATGGTAGAATATACATACAGCTGCACTGGAGAGTATGAGTCCCTGAGAGACTGAGAGGTTCAGCATGACGGTTGGCTTATAATTGCCCAGCTAGATGAGATTGAAGGTGGTCTACCGGGGTTGTAAAGAGTCTCGTCCACCATATATGCTTCCTACAGCCTCAGAGTTGTGGCGTTCATATTTCCTGTTGAAGACGATCATCGTGTGTGACTACCAGTGCATATAGGGTGCAAACTTGCATTATGCGGTGTGATCAGGTTCCACCAACGGCCTTTGTGTAACGACCAGTGATGCATCTGCGACTCGAGAGTGGCCATCAAGGAATGGCTGTAATCATTACCAAGCTTAAGGAATCCGACATATCCCAAGGAGAAAAGGACTGGGTCATTACATGGTACGGTGAAGGCATCGGTGAAGATTTATGAGAGCCCGGCAGTTTAAGCTTGAGGCTCTTGGCATACAATAAGGCTAGTGAATGCCGATTCGTCGTCAACATCCTGCGTATAAACACGAAATACAGGCTATAACACTATTTTGTCCGTCCATCACATCACATGCCACCGCCAGTCATCCCTCGCCATCAAGCGCGTGGCAATTGCTCGCCCTCCAATATCCTCCCTCATCGGCCAGAACAAAGCAACACAGTCGCCTCATATCTGCGGGGTCGACTTCGTTGACAACGACTTCATGCACTGTTCCTATCCTCAAAAGCAAAGACATCATAAAAAATCGTATCATATGCTGACAAGACTGTTGGCTGTCCATATAGATGCCACCAAGTGTATGCATGTTTTACCCATTCGAGTAAAAAGCTCGACTATTGTTGCATACTGCGTATTGTTTGCTTATCATTGCCGAAGAGCTGAGCGCTCAAACGGGCGATTATTGCGATGCCTCCCACCAACAGAGCTTGGCGAATGCTTTGATAGGTTATCAAGGCGCCTGCAAGATAGTGAAAGCGCAAGTTGCCTTTACTCTCACACATTGGCAATACCCAATGACGTATCTTATCGAGTTACATGCATATCGACTTGATTCGCTTATATTCGTCCTTTTTCGGTTACGATGAAGCAGGCACTCCGTACTGGATGCCTGGTTCTTACATACATATTCACATTGTTGAATGTAAGCAAGACGATAGGCGCAATTACCACGATATATGGAACCTCTGCCGGTCATCTTCCTCCGTGATAATACCCAATACTACTACTATATTTCTGCCCCCGCGCCTTTTCGCAAAGTCATTGGCAGGACCAAGATATCGCCTCTCAAGAGATACGCGATTGGATCGCGGAAGTCTTCATCCATCACACCGTGGCCAACCACGTTCAGCTTCACAATGAGGCCGCCTTTGGTAAAATCAATCCCCCATCCAACATATCGATCGCACTCCAACCAATCACCGTCAGTTCGGCCTCGTAGTTGACAGGTTCTGCCTCTGTCATCACACTCTTGGCCAGCAAGTACTTCCATAGCTGGTTGACCCCGTGTTTCTTTGAAACAATGTTAAGAAGACCATTGGCCTTGTTTATTGCTGTTTCAATAAGCGATAACTGAGTGCCAAGTCGATCGACAAGCTCGTTGAGCCTTTGAGCGTCGCTCCGACTCTCTTGACAAAGCACGTATGTGGCAACACTTACCTTTTGCAATCGCTGCAGCATTGGCTCATTAAGCGTTTTGGCTTTTCGTGCAAGATCTTCGACTTGGGCAGAAGCATGGCATAGACTATAGGTGATCTTGCTAAGGTCTTGGCGGAATTTACCGCTGAGTTTCATCCAGATGTCTTTTCGGGACTTTTGGAGCTTCTGTAAACGGTCGAGCAACTTATATGTGCGGACAACTAAGCGGCTCTCTTTGGTCGGTCATCCGAGTCCAAAGAAAAGGATGGCCGGGGTAGCTTGGAAGTGCCTTGCTCTCCTTCGTGATTTGTAGAAGTTTCTGGTCGTCGAATTCGCAGCCAATAGCTTTTTTTAGCTGCTGATTTTCCTGTTGAAGGTTGGTAGCAATATCTACAGGTATATAGATTGCGTCAAGATCCCATGATGTCTCTTTATCGTTTGACTCCTGCACAATGTTCTGGATATTAGTTTTGATGTCGTCAAGTTTTGGTGCCCATTCGTTGAATCTTTGGATCGGTAGACGACTTCGTTCCATACACACACTATCATATGACGTGTTGAGATAGTTGTAGATTTTAGTATTAATGAAGCCAAGAATGAATATTAGTATAAACATATTGAATCGAGGTGGTGCTCTATTGGAGCTGGGTTGTGAGTATTGTATGGTGGGGTTGTTTCTATGCATTTTTGTCTAGATGTCGGGATGTTTTAGATGAACGATTTTGAGCATCATGGGTTGTTGTTCTTTTATTGCCGTGGCAGGTCTTTGTCCGAGACATCAAGAGGTTCAACTACATCAACCAGGAAGGCCTTTATTCCTTGAACAATGCTTTGACTCAATGTTCTAGTGGCGTGCCTGAACTGTGTGTATTACTCTTAATAAGTCTGCTAACATTATCATGTCTCTCATTTGCTCAATTGCTATGTTCCCGATACATTGAAAATTTCTTTGTCTGTCCTCTTTGATGGAACAACCCAATGTTCGTACCTTCGACTACGCTAGTCGGTTGTTGTTAGGCCAAAAATAGTGGCCGATAAGATAAAGCCATGTTTGCCTCCATGATCGCATCGCTTCTTATCTCCACACTAACAGTGCCCAAACCCCAACCGTCCCTCTCGGCGACTTGAAAATTTAGGCTATCTGTCTCACTTCCGCTCACATTGTCCCTTCATCGATATCTTCAATTCTGGTTGTAAGAAAACACTGGCCTGTCCGCATGCTTGCCGCCTTTCTCCCAACCTTCACGTCCATCATTTCTCTCAAGATTCTCATCGGTCGCATCTCTCTAAATGCCGCAGCACATATCCTCAATACAAAGATCACCAGTTGTTCAAGGAGTAAATATCAGCCCAAAACTTCAATGCCACCATTGGTCTTCAGATCTTGACATCATTGCCATCCGGCACAGATGCTGCATGGAGTACTACGGCTGTATCAGCTGTCATGAAGAATTAGCGGGACATCCCAATCAAATCTGGCCCAAGGCAGAGCAGCAGGAGTTGGCCGTCTTGTGCGGGAACTGTCGCCTTGAGCTTACAATTGCAGAGTATCTCGGGAGCAATAATCGATGTCCCAGATGCGATGCTGGCTTCAACCCGGGATGCAGAAACCATTATGATCTATATTTTGAGGTGTAGTCATGAGAAACCTCAACGGCCCTACGGCACGCAAAATTGGGTTACGGTCTACGTGAACTTATAAAGGCCTAGTCGATGTAAAGACCAATTTATAATTTTCCAGCGTTATTATTCTGGAGCACAGTCTACAGCAATGCTCGATTCATAGGAGGGAAGGGGAAGGACAATGGTTGATTGTATGGATAGAGGCTGTGCTATGAGATAAAGAGAACGATGATGAATTGAGTTTTCCTGATGAATCATGTACTTCAGAATTGCCCTAATATTGGGCCACATAGCGATTCTGTCAAATGTAATCAAGTAATTGATCGTATACAAGGAACCTACTAAAGAATATCAAGAAACATGATGGACGGGCCCTGGGGACTGTTATACATATAGACTTTTATTTCAAATGCAGCTATCACCAGTTATTAGTCAGCGGGTTTAGCTCAGTTGGGAGAGCGTCAGACTGAAGTAAAAACTTCAATCAATATCAAACGATATCTGAAGGTCGTGTGTTCGATCCACACAAACCGCATGCCTTTTTCCTTTTGTTCTTTTCAGCATCTCACATGCGCCTACTCTGATGCTGTGAATTTTTTGCGTACCGTTAAGACATGGCTGCCCAAGTAGCTGTTCACTGGTGATGGCGTTAAGACTCTTGGTCCCCGGCTGCCCTCAAGCTGACAGTCTGCTTACTTGAGGTCATATCGCCGCATGACAATTAGCAAAAGACCGCGGCATTTGTCATTTTTTTATGTACACAATATGACAATTCAACGGCCTGAATGGATAGGTCGTCGGGGCCTTGCTTACGCCAAGAGATCCTTCCGCTTCAATTTTCTCTGCTGACAGGCTCGGGAGATTAGCAGAACCCACCTAGCGCGAGAACTTCAACGATGTGCCGAGCCTTATCAGATTGAACTAACGATTGTTGTTTGTTCGCAAGTGCCCAAACAAGCAACTGACGTTGACTTCTTTTCTCAATTAGCTTTCTCTGCCTACATTCGTCATTGGCGCTACGTTGAATCGAGCCCGTCAACGTTGCACAGCAAAAACAAGACCTTGTTGCGGTGTCGCCCGATGATGACACGACAAAAGCTGATTGATTATCAAAAGGATCAATCGTTAAATTAAATCTCAAGGATCATGATCGACGGATACTTCCGCCTCCGTCTCCGTCTCCGTCCGCTGGGATCTGCACCCCTGTAGCCTCCACTTCACATCACTTTATATCACGCTGAGATCTCCCATCCGTACACTGCGAACTCGCGGACTTTGTGCAGACTCCTCTTGTCAACCAGTCGAAACGCGTCGGAGCAAAGATGAAGTCTCTTCTTGGCCCTCTATTCCTCGGCGCGTCGCGCTTTGCCGCCGCACTGAATGATGCTGATTCGCTCGTTGCACGTGCGGAATCATCGCTGAAGTGGGAGCCTTGTAAGCTTGATCTTCCTGACGCTGCTAAGGAGCTGCTGAAGGCTGGTGATTGTGCGACTATTGAAGTCCCGCTGGATTATACGGATAGAAAGTCCGATAAGACGGTTGAGCTTCAATTGATTCGCTACAATGCCACCAAGGAACCCTTCAAGGGCAGTGTCCTCTGGAATCCCGGGGGTCCGGGAATCTCTGGCATCGAGACTCTCGCTTATCTCGGACAAGACTTCCGCGAGTATGTATCATCCAGCACATCATCTAAGACATACTGACACGGTTTCTAGCATCATGGGCGGCCATCACAACATCATCTCATTTGACCCTCGGTATGCTTCTCGCTGCCTGACTTCATGAGCTACACTGACATTATGCAGAGGCGTTGGACGAACCATTCCCTTTGCCTGTGGCAAGAATGCGTCTGCTGAACTCACCCGCCGCAGCCTAGAACCACTGCCCCAAGCAGATCTCTGGGAATATGTAAAGAACGAGGGCTGGCAGACCATGCAAGCTATTGCCGAGTCCTGCTACGAAACCCAGCAGGAACACGGCCGCTTCCTCAGCACAGCCTTCACTGCCCGCGACATGATGAAGATCGTCGATGCCCTCGGTGAAGATGGCAAGCTTCGCTTCTGGGGCATTTCCTATGGAACTATTCTTGGTCAAGTCGCAGCTGCTATGTTTCCTGATCGCATTGGCCGTCTTCTTCTTGATTCGAACTCTTTGGCTGATGCATACCTCACGTCGACTGGTGTTGGTGGACCTCACGACGCTGAGAAGTCGCTTGTGCATTTGTTCACTGAGTGCGTTGAGCTCGGTACCAAGTACTGCAAACTGGCGAATTACTCTGGTAGCAGTACTACTGTTGAGGATTTGAGAGATGCTACGGTCGAGACCTTCCAGAAATTGAAGGACCTGAAGACTCTGCCTGATGGGCTTTCATCCAAGGACTATCCCTACGCCGGCAACTCTATCTTGAAGCAGTTGAAGTACGGTATTATGAACTTGTTGTCAAGCCCTTTCAATTATCCCTCAGTGGTAGAGATTCTATCTTACGCTTTCGAGGGAGACTACAAGAAGGCTCTCAGCATCTACAAGGAGGACACATCTGAGTGGAACCTTGGTACCAACGCATTCCAGGGTATTGCTTGCTCCGAGTCTTCGTTCCGTGTCAGCAACCCTGAGGACCTTTACTCTATGTACCAAGCTCATCTAGCTGGAAGCTCCTTCGGAGATGCCATCGCTGCTGACTATGTCGCCTGCGCTGCTTGGAAGTTCGACGCTGCTGAGGGCGTTGATACCAACACACTCCGAAACGTCAACACAAGCTTCCCAGTGCTCGTTGTCAACAACGCAAACGATCCTATCACTTCCCTGAACCATGCTTGGCAGGTGTCTTCTCGATTTAGAGAGAGTCGACTATTGATTAACGAGGGAGTTGGTGTAAGTCTTTTTCCATCGTTGACAGGACTTCAAGCTAACACTCTACAGCATGGAGTCACATCGCATGCTTCCAACTGCACTCTTGAGGCTATTGCTGCTTACTTTGTTGACGGCACTCTTCCAGACGTTGGTACGAGGTGCAAGCCCAACATGCCAGCTTTCAAGGTCGCTCTCCCCAACGCATAAAATGGTTGGCTTGGTGCTGCTGCAGAAGACGGTGAAGATGAGGATAAGTTTGTAAGACGTTTGTATCACTATATATCATGTATTAAAATGGTCTATTCCCAGAAAAAGAGTGACAACTGCATACCGCTAGTGCATCATCGGCCGCCCTTATCTGTGCCACTTGATAACCCTGCAAGCAAACGAGAAATGAAATCCTTTCAAAACGGAGTCGGCGGAGGATATTGTGATTCCGTCGTCAACAAAAGAGTAAAGTTAAAAATAAAACAGCAAAAGGTCTAGCTCGTATGCTTATCCAAACATGGCTATATGAATAAGCGGAGTTCCAGAACCCATGGATCAAGGCAGCCAAGATTGTGATACCCGAACAGAAGCGTGACCAACTTTCGAGAACTTTGGTCCATGTTGCATTGCATATACGTCGTGTTTGACGATGTGATGCGTAGAAGCAGAATCAGCGGATGAACCGGCTCCCGCATCATGAGTCTGGTGAGATTCCATCATAACCGGATTATCGGTGGGAAATGCGGGGGACGATGATGTAAATTATTTCGACGTGGGGTCGGAGTTTTTAGCCGCGACTAAATTTAGGTATCGAGACGATCAATCGGGAGGCATGGAAATGGCCGCGTCATAAGTTGAATAAGCATAGGATAGGACTTATGGATACTCTAAATTCTGAGGTTTTGATACTTACACGAGATTTGCATCGCCTTGTTGTGTTGTGTTGTGAAGTGAGAGAGATCTTCGAGAGGGTTACAGTCATTGCTCGTATTTGACATCACAGGCATCACATGGATCGTCCCAATAGGGCCATGGTGCGTTGACACGGCACAGTCCGTCCCCGGCACATGATACCTGCTGCATATTTCTCAAGTTCCACTGATCGACTCTGATAGCAGCGGAGTTAATTCTCTGTGAAAATGATTGGAAAAAGCGTTTGCTTGATCGGTTTCGGCCGTGTGCTGGAAAAGATACGAGCTGTAGTGGGCTCACACTGCTGTATTTGCTAGTGCTGACAGTGCAGCTCGTATCGCGGCTGGTTCTGTATTGGGCTTCAACTTTCAGCCTGTACTTCCAGAAGCATCAGACACTTACAGCCACAGACTTGACGTAGTGATCTCCTCTCTTAGCCCATTATTGCCTTAGTAGAGTTCGAAGTTGTGTTGACTGTGTCAAATGTATTTAAAGTCAACTCCATTCCCGCAATAGACCAAACTCTCATCATCACTCAACAGCCATCAATCAATCAATCACCCCGCACCCCAACACTCGTTCATATTCTCAAATCTTCACATTTCAACCACCAAAATGCATTTTGCTACCATTATCGCTACTGCTGCTCTCGCCATGGGCGTCGCTGCTGAGCCTGCTTCTAAAGACCTTCCTTTCAACGTCATTTCTGCCCGCATTTGGAGCTCTAAAGACTGCGGAGGCGACAACAACAATGGAAACCTCGGCGAATTGACCACGCATCGTGACGAGCTCAACGAATGCTTCAAGTTTACCGACAAGGTCAAGTCGGTCAGCCAGTATGAGCATGCCAAGGGCTGCAAGCGTAAGGACTATCTAATCCCTGGAAATCAAAGTCTTACTGACAAATGCATAGTTCTTCTCTTCACAGACAGCAACTGCAAGCGTGGACAGAAGACTGTCAAGGATGACCAGTGTCGCGAGACTTCTTCTCACTTCAGCAGCTACAAGACTGTATGCAACTGAGATATCACGAGTCATGAGTTTAGATATTATTATGCATTAATGGCTATGAGAGGATAATGGACTAATTGTTAAGACGATAATGGCAGCATGACGGAGTTATGGACATTCCTTTGGCAAAGAGGTCGTATGAATTAATATACAACATTGAATTAACTAAGATTATGCATGATTTGAACCAGATCCACTGTCTAAACTCCCTCTATGCTTGTCTTGTCTGCTAAGGGGCATATCCCGCATACCCTGGTCTCATATCTTGAACGTGTCGCTTAAGCAGTGCCCTGGGTGAGGTAGCCAGTGAGGCCATCAAAGATGTTGGAGACGGGCTGGATGATGGGTCCAAGAGGAGTGCCCGAAAGGGTGTTGAGGATGTTGGAGAGGATGTCGACGAGACCGGGAACAATGTCGCCGATGAGCTGGGTGACGAGGCCGAGGAGGGTGGCGACGGTCTGGAAGAGGAGCTCGAAAGCGCTGCCGATAACGTTGTCGAGACCAAGGATGCTCAGGACCTCCTTGGCAACACCGACAAGCTCGTGGAGAAGCTGAATGACGAGGCCAAGAATGACCTTGACGTCGGGGATGTTGATCTTGATGCTGACGACATCCTTGAACTGGTTGACAACGGCGGTGAGGAGCACGTTGAGGGAGTGGACTTCGGCAGTGACGACCTTGACGGCGGCAGCCTTGGAGATGGCGTTGGACTTGACCTTAGTGATGACCTCCTCTGGAGGAATTGTTAGCAATCTATTTAACACGAACTTTGTA